TTGCAAGAGAGAAAGATAGGCACCCGCGGTCAGTATTGTTTAAATGACCTAAAATAGTCGTAAATAACTTTTAAATGACCTGAAATGGCTTTTTACTTATGAAATTTAATAATAAATTTCGAATGACCAAAATGACCTGACAAAGCCATTTTAAAAAGGCAAATGACCATGCAAATTTAACAACACTGCCCGCGGCGAGATGCACCGAAACGAAATACGCGAATGAAAGCATGCCATACGCACCTACGAAAAATCCCCTTTTTGTTGCAGCGGAGTATAATTATGGGACTGAAATCTTTAAAAGTAGCCTATTTCAAAGGAAATTTTGTATATTTAACGTAATGATTTCTACTCTAAAAAAGGGCTATTTTTATTAAGAAAATATTATTTAAAAAAAGTACATATGTAATGTGATTAAAATTTGAATCATTAATAAAACCATCATAATAGCTGATAAAAAAACAACAGTTAATTTGAAATTAAAATTAAGAGGTCTTTGAGCTTTGTGATTTTCAAAGAATCGAATGAGATCCGAGTATAAATGTCTTCCGTCCGTTAAGATAATATTATGCTTGGATGTTCTAACTCTTTCTATAGCACTATAATTAAATTTATTTTTTGACGGGACTACTATGATCCCAATTGTATCATTGGGGAAATTTGATAATAATCGTTCTAATTTTTGCACGGACGTAGGACCTACAATTGATTTATATTGATTAAGTAATAATTATTTCTAATCATATCACATAAAGAATACACCAGGTCAGTACTTACCGATTCTTCTTCTTTTATGGTATTTGCATTGGACAAGAATCACAGTTTTTGTAAAGGTTCCAATTATGTCTGGTCCTCTGCCGTCTGGTGAATATCTAGAAAGCGAATTTATATTATCATTGTCATAGCGGGTCGTCACCATATGCTTGATCTATATATATGGCCACAAAAAGCCTTTTCACCAATTTTTATGTCTAATATAACTTGGGATATTTACCTTATCCGATGACATACTGCACAAATACGGCAAAGAATATCGAAAATTTCTTTTTCGAACGTATTTCTTTTAATAGTGGAAGAAGGCATGACAATTTTAAATAATATTTTTTTAAAAAAATTCAATTTCCACTTTTTTCTTAAATATCATTAAATTATCACATTCTTGATCAACAAAAAAAAAACGTGAAACTTGTTCTTGAGTTTTCTTGTTTAATTCAATGATCATCTCCGAATTTCTCGGATTGCGTTTCTTAAACTTTTTTTTAGGATGGGATGACCAAGTCAACTGGATTACCCCTGTCTTTGGATCAACTCATGTGTGCATACTCTATTATGATTGGATAGTATACATAATTGTTCTTATCCGGACTATTGTTATTGGGCCTAGGGATATTATGATCCTGCTAAGATCCTGATTTGAACCAGTCTTTTGAACCAATTTAAATGATTTCTGGCCTCATAAACATATATGATAACACCTTCTATATTTATAAGTCAAACTGATCCTGTCAAAAACGATAACCTATCATAACTGCAGAACTGGTCCACATGTCCGTTCCATAATTCAATCCGATAGCCTGTCATTTCAATAAAGTTCTTTCAAAATTATAATTCCGATATTTTGATTATGTTTATGACAAAATTTTGTAATGTTTAAAATATTCATAATGAATTTTATATACTTTTTCTTGTATAAATAAAGAAAAAAAACAAATTAGTAAATATTTTATTTGCAAATCGTGTCAAATGTTTAAAAAATTAGAGGTTTTCCATGGCAAAAAGGCTTGTTACAAGTGTTTGAAACGTCAGTAAAAACAGTAAATGTGAAGAAAGCCTTCCGTTATTTTATGTTATTTTGTATAACATAAAAGAAAATTCGATAAATATAGTGTAGAAACATTACAACCATAATATGGATAATATTAAGTCTTAGCAAAAAAAAAAACAAAAGGCTCAGTGCGTTTGAGAAAAACTTCAGTCCAATCAAAAAAATGGAGAACCTAGAAGCATTTGAAAAGGGAAATTCTATTTTCACCCGGGTTAAAGTCACCCGATATATAATTTTTATTATACTATATAATATAAAGTTATATAATATCGTAAAATTCATCTACCCTAACCTCTAACTAACCAATCTATAGAATTTTTAGTTGGCTATAGTAGT